ATCTCCTCTCTTGTAGTTTGAAGCCATTGTTCCGCGTCCTAGTCTCCAGGGAAGCAGAAAACAAGCTTGCTCCCTCCTCTCATAGGCTATCATATCTCCTCTCAGCCTTCTCTTCTTCAGGCTAAACATGCCCAGCTCCCTAAGCCGCTCCTCATAGGGCTTGTTCTCCAGACCCTTGATCATTTTAGTCGCCCTCCTCTGGACACATTCCAGCTTGTCAATATCTCTCTTGAATTGTGGTGCCCAGAATTGGACACAATATTCCAGATGTGGTCTAACCAAAGCAGAATAGAGGGTTCAACCCTTAAGACCTTCCGGGGGAGAAAGGTCTTAAGAGTCTCCAAAGGATTTCCAGGAAAACAGTCCTAAAGACCAAAGAACTCCAGCTGGAGAACATCTACTGCCTTGCTGGTAGGTCCACTCGACGTTCGAAATGTAGTTCGACCCAGTAGCGGAGCCCACATCAGTAAGGGTTACATTACAGTCAGCCTGGGAGAAGTTAAAAAGGGGATTTTCCTTTAAAGAAGAAGTTATTGAAGACAGTTGCCTGTCCTTCGTGGGCAAGATTAGGAATTCACCAGTTACCTAAAAGCTTGGAATCATTTGCTTAACTTTACTGAAGACAAGATAAGTTTCTGTTTGATTGTTCATTAATAAAAGACTTTGTTGTACTTCTCAAGCCATCTAACTCAAGGCATATTTCCAGGATCTCTATATGGACACCTCTACTGGAAGGGACTGTCCCAACTTTGATACAGAGAACCTTCCACCATGGCCACCTGTATCAGCTACAGAAATTAAGAACCTGGTTGCCCAACTACGATCAGGCAAGGCCCCAGGAGAAGATCTTATCCCAGCAGAGGCCATCAAGAACAACCTGGATTTCTGGACCCCCATCCTAGCCTCACTTTTTACATGTATTGACAACCATGGCCAAATCCCCAAGGATTGGGGGCTTGCAATCATTGTTCCCATCTATAAAAAGAAAGGGAAAAAGGATGATCCTGTGAACTATCGACCAATCAGCCTCCTTAACACTATCAGCAAGCTATATGCTAGACATCTATAGGCCTGTTTGATCAAGAAAAAATTTGTTTCTAAAATCGATTTGTAATTGGGGTGTTTTTTTGTTTCGATATTTAAAATAATTACAAAACTTTCCCCAAAAAAAGTTTTGGTATTTACGAAATTTTGTAAATATTAACGAATTTTTAGAATATTTTTGGTATTTCTTAAGAATAATATTAAAATAATATTAAAAAATATTTTAAAATGGAAAATTAACCAAAAAATGGCCCAAATGTGGACCAAACACAGGCAGGATACAGCAAATGAGAGCACACACCAACAGAAGAGTCTTTTCTTTTTTAGAATATTTTTTAAGAATAATATTAAAAAATAATATTAAAAAATAATATTAAAATAATATTAAAAAAATATTTTAAAATGGAAAATTAACCAAAAAATGGCCCAAATGTGGACCAAACACAGGCAGGATACAGCAAATGAGAGCACACACCAACAGAAGAGTCTTTTCTTTTTTAGAATATTTTTTAAGAATAATATTAAAATAATATTAAAAAATAATATTAAAATAATATTTAAAATATTTTAAAATGGAAAATTAACCAAAAAATGGCCCAAATGTGGACCAAACACAGGCAGGATACAGCAAATGAGAGCACACACCAACAGAAGAGTCTTTTCTTTTTTAGAATATTTTTTAAGAATAATATTAAAATAATATTAAAAAATAATATTAAAAAATAATATTAAAAATAATATTAAAAATAATATTAAAAAATATTTTAAAATGGAAAATTAACCAAAAAATGGCCCAAATGTGGACCAAACACAGGCAGGAGACAGCAAATGAAGCAAGCAGTACTCACAGCAGCAAGGAATGAATCCAATCCCAGTTGCTAGCAGCCAAGCCAACCCAATGCAAACTCCCTCGCCCTCTGCAGCAATGAGCTACGGCTGCGCGGAGCCGCTTTGAAAGGGCTCGCCGGCCAATCAAAAACAAACAGCCACGGACCCACGGTGCACTGCTTGGGAGCGCCGGATTGGCTCCCAGGCACCAGCACTCCAGCAGCCTCCACCCCATTAACGAAACGAGCGGAAGCTCGTTAAATCTATGGGGGTTGCTGGTTCGATATTTTAAAACCCTTCCGGGTTTGGAAATGTGTTTTGATATCGCTTCGGAAATGCCAAAAATAACGAATTAATAACGAATTAACGAATTAACGAACGAAACCGCACAGGCCTATATGCTAGACATCTACAATGGAAACTCCAAGATTGGTTGGAACAAGAAAGCATATTAGCTGAGGAGCAAGCTGGATTCAGGGAAGGTCGATCCACCATAGATCAGTGCCTAGTGCTGCAACACCTTGTGGAAAAGTATTCCTCTCAAAACATAACCTCACTGTATGCTGCTTTTATTGACTTTAAAGCAGCATTTGATTCCATCTCGCGAGTTAAACTTTGGGAAAAACTGGAGAGTTCTACAATCGATCGACGTCTATTATATCTAATACGCCAACTTCACGAAAAGACCACACTCAAAGTAAGATGCAACCCACAGGGCCACCTCACTGAGGCTGTTGAAACATGCAAGGGTGTCAAGCAAGGCTGCATTCTGGCCCCTTTGCTGTTCAACTTCTATATAAACTCCATAGTGGACCAGCTTCAAAACATGGACTTCCACCCCCAAAGCTGGCGGGAAGACACATCTCCATCCTGCTTTATGCAGATGATGCTGCTGTACTCTCTAGAACACCCATTGGGCTCAAAAGAGCTTTGAGAGCATTAATACAACATTGCAACACAGATCAGCTCCAACTCAATTACAATAAAACCAAAATCATGGCTTTCGCTAATAGGCCCAGGACTTACTCTTGGAGCATAGATGGTCATAAAATTGAACAAGTTACATCCTTCAAATATCTAGGTGTAGTTTTCCAATCTAATGGTAGCAGAAGAGCTCATGGGGATCAAGTATCCAACACCGGCGCAGGAGAGCTCAATTGCCATTCTCAAATATCTCAGGACAAGAGGGGGCCACTTCACACCGGCAGCGCTCAAGCTGTTTGAAGCCAAGTCATTAGCCCAAATAAATGTTTTGATTTGATTTGTACTTCTCAAGCCATCTAAAGACTGTTTGTGGTGGAAACCTCTGAGAACTTCTCTTTAGGCCCCCTGGCTTCCCGCTGGGCAAAAGTTGCACATCCTGTTCTAAAGACAATTATTTACAGGCCCAGCACGCGACAGAACAGTAGTGAAGCAACCAAGTTGGGGGGGGGTTGAATGCTCTCATTAAGGAGGCCAGACTTGGTGGAGGTGTTGACAAGGGCGGAGCTGCAGGCTATTGAAGGCTGCTCTGCCCCCTGCTGTGCTCTTTGCTTCAGCGTGAGCTAGGAGGCAGGTTTCAACCCCCGCCCCCTTTCAACCCCCCCCCCCCAAAATTTCAACCCCTCCCAAAAAATTTTCTGGCTACAGCCCTGTATATGTGCATTGTAATCCGCCCTGAGCCCCCTGCGAGGTGAGAAGGGCGGAATATAAATACTGTCAATAAATAAATAAAATAAATAAGGTGAGCATGGCTGTCTCAGTTCTGTGACTGGTCTGAAACCAGACTGTGACGGATCCAGTTTCATCCAAGAACCCCTGGAGCTGTGATAGACCAAAATATCTCCAGTGCATTAATAAACCAAAATAGCTAGACAATCCTTATCTAGAGAGACCCGAAGTTTAATTGGATGTGTCAGAACCATCCTAAACTCCTTGTTCCCCATCTCTTCAGGTATTCCTAGATGTCCACGTCGTCTCTTAATGATGCCACCGCCATCTCCCACGCTGTGCCGCAGCCCACCTTCAGTCCTATTTTCCCTGGTTTCCTTTCTTTTGAGGCTAGGGTGGAATTAAAGGAGGGCAGAATCCTTTCAGACAGCGTTGCCTGCCATCTGAATTTGAATACTCATTTAATATGTACCTGCCTTTCTTAAACCGCAATTATTTAGCATTCATTATGTGTATAATCCTTCTTTTCTCCCATGAGATCAGGTTGGCTGGTTCTTTCCCTCTCTAATCCTCCCAGGCGCTTCTCTTCTTACCCGTCCCGTTGCACGTCAAGGCGGAAAATTGCCAACCACTTTCCAATGCCTTTGGTATACAAACCAAAAGCTCTGATATCCTTAGCTATGCTCAAGTTTTCATTTGTGTGTTCCAAGAAGCAAGAAAATTGCATTCAAAGCACTCCCGACAGATGGCCATCCAGTCTCTGTTTAAAAAGCTCCATCATACTCCGCGGCAGAGAGTTCCACCACTGAACAGCTCTCCCAGTGAGGAAGTTCTTCCTCATGTTCAGGTGGAATCTCGTTTCTTGTAGTTTGAAGCCGTTGTTCCATTGCATCCTAGTCTCCAGGGCAGCAGAAAGGAAGCTCCTCTCTACTCCCTATGACTTCCTCTCACATATTTATATATGGCTATCATGTCTCCTCTCAGCATTCTCTTCTTCTGGCCAAACCTGCGCAGCTCTTTAAGCCGCTCCTCATAGGGCTTGTTCTCCAGACTCTTGATCATTTGAGTCGCCCTCTTCCTCTGGACACATTCCAGCGTGTCAACATCTCCCTTCAATTGTGGTGCCCAATGCTTTTTGTTTTGTGTGTTTATGGGTGTGTGTGTGTGGATTTTGCATTAGGAATACATGTGTCTCCTTGCCACTCTTCTGCGGTTTTTATTTCCTGGATATGCCCCGTGATACTACATTGCGTTGATTCCCCTTGGTACAATAACAGTCGGTTCTCGGGGAAAAGTGGCATAATCATTAGATAGACACGAGCGCCCTGTGTAAACAGGAACGGATAAATTGGTTTCGCCTGGAATAAATCACCCAGAGACACCACTGGGTCTGAATAATAAAGAGGCTGGGGGTGGAGGGCTCTGATAATTGCTGGAAGTTCCCCGGAAAATGCGATATGTTTTCTTTCTCCCTTTAGGGCCTGAAGCCGATGGATCATAATGGGCTGTCTGACCCCTACGTGAAATTGCATTTGCTTCCTGGTGCCAGTAAGGTGAGTAACTCTTCCCCGTTTCCTACATTTGCGAGACAGTAATTAAAAGCATGGCTTCCCTGGCTAGCCTTTAAGCTCCTTTCCCTTATTAACCTATTGTCGACGTAGCCAGCTGTTGCTTGGCCCGGCTCCTGCTAATCTGGGCGTCCAAGCCAGAGCAATACTAAGCCCTTGCCGGGGGAAAAGATTCCACAATATGATGACATTCTGGAAGCGGGCAAAGATGGATTCTCCGCTGCTTGAGAAGTCTGGGGAGAGTGTGGACCACACCGAGTGACAGCTTCAGAGGGGAACAACACCAAGATGTCTGTCTATTACATTTGCTGTTTTAATTGGATGAAAAGTAATGACTCCACCTTCGCAACTCCACAACAGATGGCAGTACTAGTATGCGGCAGGTCCTGGCTTGTTCAGTAGACTCTCCTCTACAGTTCTATTTTGGTAGGAAGTCTTAACATTGAACAGTTGTGTTGTTGAAGTGTGAAGTATGGAACCCTATACAGACGGTCGTGAGCTAACAAAATGAAGTTCAACAGGGACAAATGCAAGATACTCCACTTTGCAGAAAAAATGAAATGCAAAGATACAGAATGGGGGACGCCTGCCTGAAGGACAGTACGTGTGAAAAAGATCTTGGAGTCCTCGTGGACAACAAGTTAAACATGAGCCAACAATGTGATGTGGCGGCAAAAAAAGCCAATGGGATTTTGGCCTGCATCAATAGGAGCATAGTGTCTAGGTCTAGGGAAGTTATGCTACCCCTCTATTCTGCTTTGGTTAGACCACACCTGGAATATTGTGTCCAATTCTGGGCACCACAATTGACGAGAGATATTGACAAGCTGGAATGTGTCCAGAGGAGGGCGACTAAAATGATCAAGGGTCTGGAGAACAAACCCTATGAGGAGTGGCTTGAGGAGATGGGCATGTTTAGCCTGAAGAAGAGAAGGCTGAGAGGAGATATGATAGCCATGTATAAATATGTGAGAGGAAGCCACAGGGAGGAGGGAGCAAGCTTGTTTTCTGCTTCCCTGGAGACTAGGACGCGGAACAATGCTTCAAACTACAAGAAAGGAGATTCCATCTGAACATGAGGAAGAACTTCCTGACTGTGAGAGCCGTTCAGCAGTGGAACTCTCTGCCCCGGAGTGTGGTGGAGGCTCCTTCTTTGAAGGCTTTTAAGCAGAGGCTGGATGGCCATCTGTCAGGGGTGCTTTGAATGCAATATTCCTGCTTCTTGGCAGAATGGGGTTGGACTGGATGGCCCACGAGGTCTCTTCCAACTCTATGATTCTATGATTCAGTGTGACTTAAGCAACGTGCAGTCATTGAATTCTTGACAGCAGAAGGTGTCACCCCAAAGGAGATTCATCAGAGAATGCAAGTTGTCTTGGATAAATCTGTCAACCTTTTGTTTGTGAAACTTGGTGGTTGCTGTCACAGGACATCCAAATCTTTGTTTGTCATGCAAGTCAGATGTTCCCACCTCAACATCTTTAAACTTAAAAAATAATGCCTCCACCTTCGTAAATCCTCAACAGATGGCAGTACTGGTATGCAGCAGGTACTGGCTTGTTCAGTAGACTCTCCTCTACAGTTCCATTTTGGCGGGAAGCCTTAGCATTGAACAGTTGTGTTGTTAAAGTGCGAAGTATGGAACCCTCGCGCAGATGGTTGGTCAATGCAACTTAAGCAATGTGCAGTCATTGAATTCTTGATAGCAGAAGATGTCACCTCAACATCTTTAAACTTGCTCACCCAACGACGCACAGTACTCGCATCAACACAATCACCATAAACAGCTTGCATTCTCTTACGAATCTCCTTTGGGGTGACACCTTCTGCTGTCAAGAATTCAATGATTGCACGTTGCTTTAGTCACATTGACTGACCATCTGCACAGGGTTCCATACTTCGTACTTTAACAACACAACCGTTCAATGCTAAGGCTTCCCACCAAAATGGAACTGTAGAGGAGAGTCTACTGAACAAGCCAGTACTTGCCACATACCAGTACTGCCATCTGTTAGGGATTACAAAGGTGGAGGCATTAATTTTGACCGATGTCTGTGCAGGGTTCCATACTTAGCACTTTAACAACACAATCGTTCAATGCTAAGGCTTCCCACCAAAATGGAACTGTAGAGGAGAGTCTACTGAACAAGCCAGTACCTGTTGCATCCCAGTACTGCCATCTGTTGAGGAGTTACAAAGGTGGAAGCATTACTTTTCATTCAATCCTTGTAAATATCCACTAGTATTCATGCAAGGCAATTAGGTTTCTCCGCTGTTAGGATTTCTGGGAGTTGACAACTAAAGCATCTGGGGACCCGCAGGTTGAGAACCACTATGTTAGACTGATATATGTGCCGTCCGCCCAAACGATACAAAAAATAAAACTGCGACGTGCTTCTCTTTATGTCTGAGTGAACTGCAAGTGTCTATATTGAGAAGCTTGAGATACTCAGCAACTGAGACTATTACTGGTTTAAACATCAAAAAAGGATATTTATTTATTCAAAGTCCTTGAAGACTTGGCACAGTTCATCAAAGTTGCAAATAAACAGTCAATAGATGAAACTACAAAAATATTCTTTCTTTTCTTTAGTTACAGAGGTAACCCTTTCTCCAGATGGCAGATAAGATCCTGGAATCTTAACACCCTAAGCTGTTGTGGTTTAGAAAAAAGCAGGTTTTTTCCCTATCTATAACTTAAGGTTAGTTCTGGAGACAATGCAGTCAAGACTCTCTCTGTATAACTATAAAACTCAATCGTCTCAATTAAGCTTATCTGTCTATAATACCTCAAAAACAGCTCAAAACACAATATACTATCTATATTATCTCAATATAGCTTACTCAGTTTAGTTTTTGCAATGGTTCTCCCAGAGCTAACTGCCTAGCTGTCAGCACGTCTGAAATCTTTCCTAACTGAAAAGGCAGGGGAGAATCTAAAATGCAACTATTGCCTTAGAGAGCAGCTCTTTGAGTTTAGGGACCGCCTTTTCTCCCAGGGAAAGATCTCCATTTTAGATTCTCCCCTGCCTTTACAGCTTGGGGAAAGACTTAGAGCTGCTCTCTAAGCCAATAGTTGCAAAGAGGCCTGCAGACTCTGATACTATTAACCTTCAGGACTCTTGCAGCAGCCTTGGGAGAAAATGCAAGAGGAAGCAACCTCAAGCAACTATAAAGTAAGGCAAATCAGGCTCCTGGGAGAGGGAACAATATACCTAGATATATCTTTGAACTGTTAGGAACAAAGATATGCCAATGCACAATAAAACAGCAGAGTTCAGAAGTGTTTTTTTCAGTTGCCCAAAAAGCATCTCCTCTCCCTTAAAACATCTTGGTTTAAATCATGCTCTCAAGAGACCAAAATAAGTAGTCTTCATTAAAAGTAACATAGTTGGTTTACTCACAGACTTCATGTAGTCAACATACAGGTATATTGTTTATCAGTCCAGTTACAGATAGGGTTTGAAGTAGTTTCTCTGTGCAGATAACATAGGGCAGCTTTCTTGTGATCAACTGTCAAGATCAGACGCCAGCCAATTAAAGAAGTATAGTTTATTGTTCAAACAAACACAAAACAGCCCAAAACAAAACCACAAGACAAAAAACACTTAGTCTTCAGTGTGAAACAGTTCAAAAAGGCAAAAGAACCCACAAAACCCCAATCAGAATATAACCTGGATTATCCAGAAATATAATCCGGATTAAACTCAAAATGCTTAAATTCAGCTCAAACTTGCTCCGTCAAACAACAGAAGCAAAACAAACTGTAGAATGATGTTCACAGCCACTCTAGTGAGCAGCAGCCTTTCAAGGGTTGCAAAATGTAACCCGAGCTCCAAACACTGCAGGAGACGCCATGCTGAACTTCGAGGCTGGAATGCAGGAATGCAGGGAGGATGATAACGCCAGCCGCAGACGTAGAAGGGAGAGTCCAGTCCAGTCCGAAGGGAAACGAATAGCTGCAAGGTCAGGTCCCGATCCAATGGAAGTCACAAGGAGCCAAAGCAACGGGGGCAATACGGCAGCTAATGCAAATATCAAAACAGTGCAGTCCAGCAGAAACCCACACAGTTCCAGCCCCCTTTGCTTCTTAAACCCAGGGCATAACTTACATCCCAAACCCATCTTCTGTAATACAACGATCCAGAAAGCGCCCAACAAGACACCTTGCCGATTGCAAAGTTACAATTGCAAACACTCCCATTTTATCTACAAGTCTTCATCAGAACTTGATTCAGCCAACACCCTTGTGCCAGCTGCATCCTGTTGAAACTCCTCATCCGAACTGGAGTCGCCCCTAGTTCGGCCCAACCCATCCCCAGCTGTGCTTCTTCCACTACTCCTCCAAGTAGTCCATCTATGGTCTAATCCTGAAGTTCCCCAAGACCCATCCCTGCCTTCGCTACTCCAACCTTCAAACGTGCCACTGCTTGTGGGTTCAGCACAAATATCCCGAATCTCTTGAACCCTTGTCCAATCCAACCCATCAGACCCAGAGTCTGATATCCCATCATCCATATCATTTGCATCAAAACCTTCAAAAGAATCCTCATCTGTTGGCTCACTAAGTATCTCCCGGATTCTTTTCCTCTGTTGCTCTTCATCATAGTCTTGCTCGCGAGTAGTTTTCCTGCCTCTCCTAATACAACTAGTGTTACTATCACTGCCAGCAGACTCTATCACAACATCAACAATTCAACGTCTAAAGCATGTATAGATTATAGAATTGCATAAAATAAGATTGAAAATCGAACTATATATATATATATATATATATATACATATATATACACGGACACACACTTTTTACTACATTTTTTCTTCCTTTTCACACACAGTTTTATAGCCTTTTTATAGCTTTATAGTTTTTTTCTTTGTTTTTTGATTTTTGATTTTTTCTTTTTTTCTCTCCCTCTTTCTTTAATTCTAGTTTTTATTTAGTTTAATTCTCGAATTTCCTATAATCACATTGTTCTCCCACTTTT